CTTTACAATAGAGAGAAGAGGATGAATAGAAACTAAATTAGATGCTGCATTAATCTATGTTACTTTGCTTGCAGAAATTCTGCATGTCTCATTCATTACAATTTGTGCACAAAGTCAGAAAGCCATTAAGATTACAGAAGAGTTCATAACCTCCCTGCTCCAGAGTGACACCAATGTAAGATGCAAGAGTTCCATATTGTAGAGACAAATCAGAGCTATGTTAGGACTACGATGATCCTAGCCCTAGTTTAAACCTTTTGGCTAAGCTCATCTTAACATTGAGTTGATTATGACCAAGGAAAGCCCAGTTACTGACAGTGTAACTGGTTTGTATCAGTTACACTGAGGAAAGCAGACAAGTGAGTATTTTCTTTAGTAGAAGAAAGCAGTGAAATTTAACCAAAGCTTGAATTAGTTTTGTTGAATAGAGATATCTCGTCAGTGTCGTTTCATTTTCATTCAGGTTTACTGTTAGCTTGGACCTAAATTCTACATATGATATAATATGTAAAGATGTAGAAAACAGCATTCTCAAGCAAATGTTCGCTAACAACATATGCAATTTTTTATAATTATTTATATATAGAAGTTTAGATGGGACCAATAACACCAAAATGTATTGCTTAGAAACTTATCTATACTTGCAGCCAGTTTTCTGCAGCATCAGTGTCTCCTCTAACAAACTGGCGCCAGGAACTGTAGCAGACTTCCACTTAGAAGTTATGTATTTTATGCAAAAATACCACTTCATATTCACTGGTTTATGTGACTTTATTTATGAAAAGATGAGTATATTATATACTTTAATTCTTCTTTGTTTTCCTTGCAGTGTTTTATTATCTCTGTCTCTTGTATTGTGTGCACTAGATGCAATGCTATATTATCGTTCACTTGTGGAGCACAATAAAGTCTTTCCAAAACCTCCCTATCTCACAGGTAAATTATGGCATGTATCTGTCCTGTTCTATGACTTTTCACATCTTCTACATTGTCAAGTTTTTGAACAAATTCTACAACTATTAAAATGCCTCCAAGGGGGAAAAGAGCTAATAAACCAGAAGCGAGCGAGGATGTTGAGGCTGAAGAATCAAGATATATGCAAGAACAGGTTTAATGATTAATCAGGTGTAACATTGTGGGTGTGGTGTATGAATGTTAACACTATGTAATATTGCTACTTGTGTGGTGTAGAAGATAATTATCAAAGTATGTAATTATGTAAGAATGTTAACAGTCTGTAATATTTTTTAGTATATCACTAGCGTAGTGTAGAACAAAATTATTTATGTAGTAATACTGCTTGCAAACCAATGATGGTAAGATGATGTTATGGGGTAGGACTAGATAAGTCTAACTTCTTCCTACTCCGTTCAAGCATGTACTAGGTATAAGCAAATTGATAATGTATTTGTGGATATGTGTGAAATTATGTGTGTTGACATATTGACTGTTGTTACATGTTTGAAAGAATAAATCAAATCAAATAAAAAAAAAAAAAAATCAAATCAAGGTGTTTCTGGACTTGTGAGGACAACACATTTGTTTGTTTACTGCCATGATCCTGTCATGATCTAGGAGGCTCCTCTGCTCTTACGCTTATTGGAAACAGTTGGAATTCTTTGGAAAGATCCTTAAAAAATGTGAGGATGTTGAATATCACCACAAACAATCAGCTGCAGCCAGCCTCCAGTCCTGAAACACTGGCAGAATTTCAGTCATATCTCACAACAACCAGGGCTGAAGCTGCCAGTGAGGATTTCCATCAACTGCTGCTGACCTCCTGGCCTCGTGTAAGGCCAACCCCACATGTCAGCAACAGGTGTTTGTTTCCCTTAATGTTGTTTGGAACAGACAGCTGCAGGGAGACGGAAAGCCTTCCTTTATCTGTGACTGGATGAAAACACCAGTGGCTGAGCTGTTTGTGGTTTCTGACCGTTATAGAAAAACATGACTTCCGTTCTGGAAACTACCATTCAAAGGGAATTTAAGGAAAAACATGCAGCTGCACAAATTTGCTTTGCTCTACATCCAAAGGGCTTGTTGGCTTCTGCTGCTAGTCAGTGGATAATAGATCAGCTGAACAGAAATGTGACACCTGTCTACAGGCAGGCACACGAGTCAATGCAGAAGAAGAAGGCCACAGTAGCCAACTTGGGCTTGTTTAAGGAAATTCCACTTGAAATCAGCTGCTTCTAAACCCAAAACCAGCTAATAAAATAAAAACTATAATAAATATAAATATAGGTAACAGCCACATTGTTGCCTGTTTCACCATATTCAGTATTAAATTCCACACAGGGGTTCTAGGAAGTGATCCCGACATTATTTTGAAACACCAGACCTATGGAGTGAAGCAGGAGTAAATAAAATCTACAAAAACACAAACATTGGTGACTGTGGTTCAGTGGGTAGAGCAGTCATCTCCCAACCAGAGAGTTGGAGGTTCAAATCATGGTGTCCTTGGGCAAGACACTGAACCAATGGTTAGAGCCATCATTGTGAGCTGGCGTCACAGATGGCTGCCATTGGTTCTGTACCGGAAACAAATTCCTTGTGTGTAACATACTTGGCCAATAAAGGTGATTATCCTATTTAAAAAAAACAAGACTTTAGACTGAGGCCCATAGCTGATGTGGTGACACAGGCAGGTCTGGACTGAGCTGTGTGTGTCTGGGCTGCAGGTGGGCGTGGTTCAGTACGGCTCCACAGTGGTCCATGAGTTCAGCCTGGGCGAGTACCAGACGGTGGAGGAGGTGGTGGAGGCTGCCAGGAGCATCATCCAGCGGGGGGGAGAGGAGACCAGGACGGCGCTGGGCATCAATGTAGCACGGTGCGTTACAGATCATCCCTCAGGAATCATCACCCTGTACCATCACCCTCCAGATAGCAGCCAGTGATCTCACTCTGCCCTGCAGGTCAGAGGCGTTCGAGCGGGGGGGTCGGCCCGGCGCTCAGAAGGTTATGATTGTAATCACAGATGGCGAATCTCACGACAGCCCTCAGCTGGTTCAGGCTGTGGCTGACAGCGAGAGGGACAACATCACCATGTACGCCATTGCTGTAAGTCCATCTCTCCTCAATCCAGATACCAACTTCCTGTCTGGTCCTGGTGCTGTCCTGGATGTCCTCAAACCTAAACGTTAACCCTGACCTTCTTCCTTCCATCCTTCTGCTGTTGGGGCTTCCTACAGTCTTTCCCCTAAGTGTTCCTCTGTGTCTCCTCCAGGTTCTGGGCTCTTACAACCGCCGTAGAAGGAAAACTGAAGCTTTCCTCAAAGAGATCAAGTTCATCGCCAGCGACCCCGATGAAAAGCACTTTTTCAATGTGACGGATGAGTCAGCGCTGAAGGACATTGTGGATGCTCTGGGAGAGAGGATTTTCACTCTGGAAGGTTCGAGCACATCTTCGTTCCGAAATAAGCTCATGAAAAACTTGGCTCATTACATGTTTATGGTTAAATGTTGCAGAACAAACATTCAGCAGAAGCACGGCCTCCTGTTAACTCCAGTGTTTAGTGGTGTTGCTGTATTTAGGCCTCCGCTTCCTTCACTCAACTCTTGTTAGTAAAAGCACAACTCTTGTTAGTAAAAGCACAAACAGTACAAGTACTGTGTAACATCATGTAAATAACTTTTACCAGTTGCTTTGGCCACTGACATCTTGTAAAAGTTGCATGACCCGATCTGTGGTGGAGCTGATCCTCAGTGGGAGAACCAGCCACCATGTCTCTCTAAAGCATGTCATTAATTTAAATGCTGAACACTACAAATAGTAATCTAGTAATCTGCAGCATCATGTGTCTGTGTGATGCTCCATCTCTGCTGCGTCTGCTTCACAGGGACCAGCAATCAGGGTCAAGGCTTCGGTCTGCAGATGGCTCAGGCTGGTTTCTCCTCTCATCTAGTCAAAGTGAGTAGCACAAGCATTCACAGCCATATCCATTGTGCCATATCTAGTCCAAACTGGAAACAGATAAGAAGAGTCATCCAGTATTTTTCCAATCAAGCAAATCATGAGCCAGTAAATTCAAGAGACAATAAGAGCAGAGTTTGGTGTTTATGCTGCTTCTGATTCAAACACAAACAGCCAAAAATCAAACTCTCAGAAACTCTTATCAGTGTCATCAAGCGTTAATCTGGTTCTGGTGCTGACAGACGTCTGATCCTGCAGAATCACAAACTTATTTCTGTTGATTCTCATCCAGGAAAACTGTATTCGACTGAATTCCAGTGTCAGGGAGTGAAATCGGTGTCATGGAAACTTTGTATGTGTAACAGGAGGTGGTTTTAATGAACGTAAAGCTGCCACACACACACACACACACACACACAGGTACACATGCACACCAGTGACCGTACTCAGGTAAAGGCTTGGGACGATGTTGTCAGCTCAGCTTTCTGATGGTAAAAACTGCCTGGGAACAGTGCTGTCAGTGAGGCTGCATGATGGGAAAACCATTTCCAGTCAGCAGAGTAACAGAGCACCACAACATTTCAGGCCGAGTTGTGTAATACATGCCGAGAGATGTCCTCCTCCTCCTGATGTGTTTGTGAGTTTGTCCTCACACACACAATAAATATTAAATGGATAAAAACAAAAAGATGACTGTTGAACTGTCTGATTACAGTAAGGACCCTTACTGTAGGTTCAACAAATCAGTCACAAACAAAACTACTACCAGTTTTGTTTTTATTTCCCCAGAGAACTCATCTTGTGAAACGAGGTAGAGGTTGGTGCACTCTGATGACACATCCTCACAAACAGCCAAAAGGGCGGAGAGTGGTGTTTCTGTTGTGTCTGCAAGGATGGAATCAGGAGACTAGTCCTGGTTGTGTGAAACTTAAGTTCAGTACAGACCAAAACACACCTGGTGCTACCAAGGCCACAGTGCCACACTGGTACAAAGGTGTGTTTTACTGTTTGAAGGTGATGTCCATACAGACTCATTCCTGTCCTGCAGGATGGCGTTCTGCTCGGGGCGGTGGGCGCCTACGACTGGAACGGCGCTGTGCTCAAAGAGACTAAACATGGCAAAGTTGTTCCTCCAAAATCCTCATATAAGGATGAGTTTCCAGAGGAGCTGAAGAACCATGGAGCCTACCTGGGTAAATACATGTACATAAAATAATGGAGACTCGGCTGCGCTTATCTGTGTTCTGATAGAGCAGAGAGGTTTCAAAGGTCCTTACACTGGGCAACACAGAACAAAGAACAGTCGATTCAGACAGCATCTGAGCTTTTCTTTCAGCAGCAACAAACCCCACAAATTCAGTGCTAATGAAAGCAATATGATGTTGATATTATTGTGTGGAGCCAGGGACTCAGGTGCTACAGGGAAGGACTGGGACTGATCAAAGATTTTTAGGTTCATCCTCTGCAGACTGAATATTCTTAAGAAAGTGTGGTTGTGTGATTCTCGCTGGTTTAGTTGACTTTATCTCTGGTTTCAGGTTACTCAGTCGGTTCACTCATTGCATCTCACGGCTCTCAGCTCTACGTGGCCGGAGCACCAAGGTTCAACCACACTGGAAAGGTCATCATCTTCACCCTGAAGAACACGGGAAACCTGACCATCCTGCAGGCATTGCTGGGAGAGCAGGTCACACACAACAACACACCGGAATATGCAGATGTTGTTCCTTTGCCTATAGGATGATGCTCATTTTCTTTGGTTCCCTCCCAGCTCGGGTCGTATTTCGGCAGCGAGCTGTTATCGATGGACATAGACGGGGACGGAGAGACTGATGTTCTCCTGGTAGCTGCACCCATGTACTACAGCCAGGGCTGGGAGAGAGGGAAGGTTTACTCCTACGCCGTTACACCACAGGTAGCCTCATAATCTGTAAATCTGAAGGTGTTGAGAGCCTCCAGAGTCCAGATGGTTTCACTCTGAGCGCCCGCCTGCACCGTCAGTCACAAGACTGTTGATGCACCAGTGTTGTTAGTTAATAGAGCTAAAGCACATATCAGTGAAACACTAGTACACAGCTAATTACCCTTCCTCCCTCAGACACCCATCATCCTGCAGGGGGTGCTGCAGGTTTCTGAGCGCTCTCAGAACTCCCGGCTGGGTTCAGCGTTGGCCCAGATACCTGACATGAACGGAGATGGGTTCACGGAGCTGGTGGTGGGAGCGCCGCTGGAAGATGACCACCAGGGGGCGATCTATATCTTTTATGGCCAAGACAAATCAATCCAACGCCAGCACAAACAGGTAACGGAGGATGAAGCAGATCAGCCACGCTGAGGCAGTGTCAGTAGAAAACGTAGATGACCAATGTGCCACTTCTGTCTCCCCAGCGTCTGTCTGCAGCCAGTTTTTCTGCAGGTCTGCAGTATTTTGGACAAAGTCTTCACGGTGTTCTGGATGTCAATGCAGATGGGCTTGTTGACCTTGCAGTGGGAGCGCTGGGAGCTGCCATCATCATCTGGTCAGACGCACACACACTTGCAGTTAGGGAAGAAGCACATTTCCCAAAACGTTGTACAATTACTTTAACACAACCTGAAATTGATTTGGTTTAAGTTTCTGTCCACATATGATCCCGCAGTGGATTTAATACAGAAACCCTGAGGACATGATGCTCCCTGCTTTCAGGTCTCGCAGTGTGGTGCGGCTTCAGGCCAAACTGACCTTTGAGCCTGAGAAGGTCAACATCTTTAACAAAGACTGTCAGCGAGGAGGGAAGGACGTCACCTGCATGTCTGTCATCGTCTGTCTGAGTCTGGACTCCCGGACAGAGACCAGGACAAAGACCAAGACCGATGTTGGTAGGTGGATGCTGACATGCCTCCATGGATCTGGGAGTTTATCATCACAGTTGTTACACGTTCAATCAGTTCAAGCAGCGGTGAGATCAGTAGTGAGTTCGTTAGATGTCCGCAGTCAGTTCTGGCCTACTTCCAAAACAAAATTGGGATCTGGCCTAAAACAAATGCACCTGTTACTGCTAAACATTACTTCAAATAAAGGTTAACAGGAAGTCAGGACTCCTCAGTTATCCATCTCGGGGACTAGAAAGAGTAAAATAACACCGGCCAGTTCATCAGGCTATCGTTCGTTTTCCAAATAGGCTTTTAGGAATATTGGTGAACTTGCCTTTTGTCATGTTTCAGTGTTTAAAGCAACAATAATGGAAACGTTCATGGATGATTATGTGGAACATTATGATGAACATGCTTCATTGTCTTTGTGCGGACCGGGTTCTGTCCTCAGATGGGACCTGAGTCCCCACAACAAGACTGTGAGACCAAACGTTGATTCCTACAACATTCCCACACCAACCCCAAACCTGGTGCAGCGAGCTACCATGCAAAGTACTGGTCTGACCATTTTTGGGTGTCTTGCTCAAGGACACATCAGCACCCAAAGAACAAGCTGCGAGCTTGTGATTACGCTTCTCCTCCTGAACTACTGAAAGTTAGTGTGTCCAACTTGGTGGGGGCACCAAACGTGGGTAAAGTGGGTAACGGCAGGGCATCGGGAGGTGGGAGGGAATGGAGAGAGAGTGGAGGAAAGGGGGTCAACCCAGTCCAGGTAGCTCACACTCAGCCCAAGGCCCCCCGAGTGGGTGAACCCAGTCCCATCATATGTCATTTCCTGGGAGAGTAATGGAAGAATTCACTTGTTTTTCATTCCTCTGTGACCCTTATGAATCACTGCACCTCCTTCAGTTATTTTCCAATGGATCTACGTCTGTACATTGTTCTTCATTCTCCCTGCAAACGTCAAAATGAGAACCTCATTTTGTTTCTTGGTGGAAAGCATTGCACAAACACATCACATATTTTAACAGTGGAGTTTGACAGCTGAGCTCAGATTTGGACTTGGACCTAATCTGTGTTTCAGATATTTTGTCATGAGCTCATGCTGGAGTTCATTCATTGGCCAGTCATAGTGTCACCAGGCTCTAACACTCCCTCTTAATATAGCAACCAGTGTTTAACTGCAGACTGCTCCATAGCAGCAGGCAGCTTCTCCTGTAGAGGAGTGGAAGTGAAAATTGCACCTTGTCTGGGTAAATAGAAGGAGAAGTTCACGTCTACAGAAGAGATCGATGGCCCCCTTTTCCAGCTGGGTTGGCACAAAATCACCCAGACATTTGGCATTTTCTGAAGGTCTCTATGTGGAAAGTCTTTCCCTCGCACACAGATTCCCCCCAGTGCTTTGTGCAGTCGCTTGGTTGTCGTGTCTCTGTGTAATCGGCTGCAGATGTGCTGGATAGAAACCTTGCTAACATGCTAACACCAGCCAGCCATCATTAAACTGTGTCACTCCTCCTCCCTCCATTCCTTCATACCTTCCTCTCTTCTTTCTCAGCTCCTCAACTTCCTCCAGATCATCTGGACTGAATTAGACGCATGCACATTAACACACACATACAGAGGCAGAGAGGCCACATGGCATCAGACACTTCATTGGACAGTGTTCAGACTGAGGACATGAGCCATGCTTGACAACATCAGAACCTTTGTTTTTAAGATTTATCCACATTTTGTGTCAAGTTATTTTCTTCCAGTGCAGACGTGGCGTTCCGGACGTGACCTGGGCTGAAGCATCTTACCTCAGCTCTCTGTGCACTCATACATCAAACCCTAAGTTCAGCTGTGAAACAGATGAGAATGAGCTCCACAGTTACTGTCAGCAACAGCATCCAACAGCTAATAAGGAAGCAGGACATGCAGCCCTTTATTAATAACTCACAAAGAAGAAGTTATTACCACATGAAATCAGCAAATAGGAACACAACTTGAGTACTTTACTTTTGCAGTATATGTTGCTAAATTGACTCAAACAGCTGAATCGACTGATATGCAACCGACTGATGCTGTTAATCACCATCAGACACACACAGGGACACACAGCGTCCTGCACCGAGTGGCACTTTATTAGGCACAGGAGTCTTAGTAAAGTATTCTGATGACCAGGTAACCTGACCACAGTTGTTGAAGCCTGTAGCTGGATGTGAGGGCTGCTACGTCAACCTGCAAGTGTTTTTCAGTCAGAGACATTGTAACAGAGTTTTACAGTTAGTGGAAAAGGAGCTCCCAAAGGACCTGAGCATCACAGTGCTTCTACTTTAGTGACTTTACAGTGCATTTCTAAGCACAAAATCACACTGTAAGCACATTAATAGAGGAGGCATGTACAACCTTTTTTCAAATCAAATTTATTTGTATAGCACTTTAAAACAACATCCAGCTGACCAAAGTACTTTACATGGGAAATAAAATGACAATAAATGACTAAAATAAAGTAAATAAGATCCGTGCTAATAAAAATAAAACCCCACAATAACACAGACACACATAGCATATGTTCAATAAATTAAAATTAAATTAAAAGGAGTTAAAAGAAATGCATCAGGCCCTACTGTGCATTATTAAAAGCCAAGCCAAATAAATACGTTTTAAGCAATGATTTAAAAGTGCTGAGGTCAGTAACTTACCTAACATTAAAAGTTAGACTATTTCATAATTTAGGGGCTGCAACAGTAAAAGCATGATCAGCCCAGCATTTATATCTGCCCCTAGGAACCTCTAAAAGAAACTGGCTTGAAGATCTGAGGGACCTAGCAGGTTTGTGCCAGTGCACTAGTTCAGTGAGGTAAAATGGTGCCAAACCATTAAGAGCCTTAAAAACAAAAATCAATAACTTAAAATCAATTCTAAAAAGGACTGGAAGCCAGTGGAGAGAAACCAGTACCGGGGTTATATGCTCAAATTTCCTTATATTTGTTAAAAGACAAGCAGCAGCATTTTGTACCATTTGGAGACGAGTGAGGGAGGACTGGTTAACACCATAGTATAGAGCATTGCAATAATCAAGTCTAGAAGCGATAAAAGCATGGATTGCAATCTCAAAATTATTAAAAGAAAGGAATGACTTGACCTTGCTTAACAGCCTCAGGTGGAAGAAGCTAGATTTCACAACTGAGTTGATTTTCTTGTCATATCTTAACTTGCCATCAAACATCACCCCTAGATTTTTTACAATCAACTTCAGGTGTTGAGCTAGGGGGCCCAGGTCCTGGTTAGAAGCAGTTAGGTTCGCCAGGTCACCAAATAGCACACTCAGTCTTATTTTCGTTGAGATTTAAAAAGTTAAGTGCCAACCATGATTTCAAGTCTGTCAGACAATGGTTGTAATGACATCCCTCTTGTTGCCTTCAATGGTAAGTAAATCTGAATGTCATCAGCATAACAATGAAAAGAAAGGCCATAGTTCCTTAAGATAGATCCCAGTGGGAGCATGTACAAAGAGAACAAAATGGGACCAAGCACAGATCCTTGGGGGACACCACAGGAAAGGATAGTTGAGGATGACGAACAGGTACCAATATTAACAGTAAAACTTCTATTGGTGAGATAAGAGCTGAACCAGTTAAGAACATTACCTTGAATTCCTACGCACTGCTCCAAATGAGATAGGAGGATTCCATGATCCACTGTATCCTCCTCCTCATGCTGTTCTTCTTCCCACTCCTCTCCTTCCTCCCAGCTGTTTGGTACAGTCTGCTGCTGGATGAGAGGCGTCTTCCTCCTCGAGCCATTCTGGATGAGTCAGACCGACAGCAGCCCCGGCATCTGCTCCTGCAGATCGGAGGCCAGAGCTGCCAACGCCTCAGCTTCTCTGTGCAGGTTAGGATGAGGATGAGAAAAACACGTAAAACACACCAAACCCTAATGCCCAGTGAATCCTGCCCTGTGTGAATGTCACATCTCTGTGAACAGGAGACAGCAGACTACGGGCGTCCCATTGCGGTTGTGTTGGCAATGGGAATGCAGAACCCAGACGAGGGGCCGGTGCTAGACCCCGACTGGCCGAGCACCCTGAGGGCCGAGGTGAGTGTGTGACCTGGTGTTTTTTGTGGTGTCAGTTTGTTTGGGGATCTAAACTTCACTTCACTGTAATAACTGTAACTCATCAAACAAACACAATTAGCCATGTTTCTCGCCACAGCTTCCCTTCTGGAACGGCTGTGAGCAGGAGGATACCTGCGTTCCTGACCTCATCCTCCACAGTCACACTGACCTCGTGGATGTTCAGTGAGCAGCACTGCTCTTCACTAACACATGCATGTTCCTGTATCTTTCAGTGAGAAACTCAGATAAGAGTCTGTGTGTTTCACCTTAAGGCAGTTCTGCAGCTCCAGGGATGGAGCCACCTGGTCCCTCTGCAGCCATCAGGGGGCATCCGGGGACGAGCTGTTTGTGGTGGAGTCCGGGCGGAGGAGGGTGGTGGTATTTGCTCGATTGGAGAACCAGGGAGAAAATGCATATGGAGCCGCCATCCACATCTTCACCTCCGCCAACCTGCTGTTCTCCAGCCTCATAGTCAAGGTTTTGGTTTCCACCTTCATTAAATCATGACAGTAATAATCTGACATGTTCATAAAACAGATGTCCAGTCTACCTTCAGTTCCCCAACGCCTGTCAAAACATTTAGAGTCTGGTATCTCACAGAGAAGAAAAATGAAGGCTCGTCCCTTTGGATTAGTGGACAGGGTGACACTGGGCACTCAGGATATGGGAAGTAGAAGACTTGCAGTTACCTAAAAGTCAACCCTTGTTTCCTGTTGTAGCTTTGCTTCTGGAATTGTGCAATTTGACCTTGACATGATTTGACATGGCTCACATTTCAGTTAAATCTGTGCATGTATGGCAGTTCAGAAGCTCAGCGGTGTTCACACCAGAGCCGGGTACATGGCACTTACATGTTTCAGGACACTTTACAAAGGTAAGGTCTAGAACTTAGTTATTATTATCGTGGAGGAAAAATACCGACAGACCCCGGCTCTTGGTGGGCGGCCTTCTGCCTCGACAGGTTGGGGTGAGTAGATAGATGAGAGAGAGAAGAAAAGAAAAGTAACAAAACACAACAAAGAATCAAACAGTGGGCAGGTTGATGTGGCCGGTGACTGCTCATCAGAAATGTAGAGCTCCAGCTATACGTGGACATGGCTACACATGGATATGACACATTGACACACAAAGATGTGAGCATTAAGCTCTGAGATGTGGACACAGCTTGTGGCTCAGCAGACTCCTCCCCCTTCCCCACAGGACCAATCAAACATTCAGTTTGACTGCTACTCTGAGGAGGGACTGGCCAGTCAGAGGCTCTGTAACATCAGTGCTCCCTTCATGAAGTCCTTGTCCCAGGTAGGTGCCGACATCTCTACCCAGCCAATGATGTACACCTGTTTACTGTGAAGCTAACCACTTTTGTGTCTGACTACCACCGTGCTGTGTAGTTATTTCACCAAAGAAAAGGCCAGTTGTTTCAAATCCCAGAGTTTTATTTTGAAAGCAACTTCCTTCCAGGTGTCGTTCCGTCTGGAGTTTGAGTTCAGCCGCTTTGTCTTCCTGGATCATGTGCGAGTCAGAATGGCAGCCAGCAGGTGAGACAGCTGATGTCGCACGTGTTCTTTGTTGTTGATTATGGAGTTTTCTCCTAAACAAATAAATCTCTGTTTACACGTTTCCTTCTTCACAAAACATTTGTAATGACTATTTTTTAGATCACAGTGTTGTTCACATCTGTGTTTGCCAGCTTCTTCTCCACTGCCTTTGTTGACTGGTTTTCTGTTGCCATTACAGTGGAATAACATGAAACCAGTGGGCAGAGGCCATGTCACACTGCCACATCCTTGTACATCTCAAATAAACTGGGATCCACTTGTATAAACACTGCTCCATAGTACCATCACAGGTCAACTGTGGTGTGGTGTACAGGTGGTGCTCCCCATGTGTCCGGTCTTGTACCACTGTCGTTTTCAATAAACAGGCTTCCTCAATCAGGTTTTACAGAACCACGATGTTCTCTGTCACTGTCACATGGGTGACACACAGCCATGTGTTAGACTCCCAGTTTAGCTACTGTGTTTCAAGAGAACCTGGGCGGGTTGCTGACCTTGGCAGGAAGTAATTGATATTAGCTGGAAGCTGATGACCTCATCAGGGTTAGGTATTAGGGGTGAGGTCAATGTAGGGTTAATGTCAACTATCCAAACATCCTAAAATTTAATGATGAGAACTCACTAATCATTTTAGCTCAACTTGAAAATGCTACCAGCCTTCTGAATGGCGACTGAGGTTACAGTCTGTCCACCTGTGCTTCTTCCTGAAAATTAGGTCAGCCTTGCCTCCTGCTGATTTTTCCCTGCTTTCATTTTTTCTGAGGTGGATTTTATAATGTACTTTAATGCCCTGCTGCCTGAAACAGCAGAGACATACCCCCATCTTGCTAAAAACACTGGGTCACGGATATATTTAGGGTTTAGGACTTGGTTTTTGGTTTGATTCAGGGGCTGATGGTGGTCTCAGGGCAGGTTTGGGGTTCAGCTGGTGGTGGGTTTGTCTGAGCCTCAAGGGAATGAATGTAAATAAAAGTGTGTGTCTGTGTTCATCAGTGAGGGTGAGGAGGGATACCCAGACGACAACACCAATGAGCTCTTTCTCCCTCTGAAATACCAAACTGATCTCCTCTTCACCAGGTACATCACAGTACATGATTCACACCCATGGCTGGTCCCACTGGTCCCACTGGTTCCACTGGTGCACATTGTTGTAAATAGATCCTGTATATAAATCCCAAGAAATATCTAAAATCTAATTAATATTTATTGAACTCACCAATTATTTGTCAGCAGGATTACAATAAATGTGTCTATCAGTCAGATATTTTGGTTAAAGGGCCATTCAGTGTTTTCTGAGCATGCAAATTACAAGCAGCACGGCACACATACAATTTTAAATTATAACGAAAAGTTTCATTTTCTCAGCTTATGCCAATTATGTTTCACTGTTGTGTTTACAAACATTACTGATGTAAACAAACATTTCCAGGCATTGGAAAATAGAAACTAACTCAATGTCTGGTGCCAGCTTGTGTGTAAACGCTCAGACATTGGGGGGATTCAGACCCTTGAAACTATATCTCATTGCACTTGTCCCTTCTGTCCTGTGTGTCAGAGACTCCAATCCTCTTCGTTTTCACATCAAACCAGACTCCTCGTCTTCATCCTGGGGCCAAACTGACAGCAGCTCCACCTCCTTCAACCTCACCTATTATGTGAGTCACGAAGCAGTCGTGTTGTCTGCAGAGTCTGTGCTGTACATTCCTGTATGGCTTAGAGTGACAATAAAGGGAACAGTGACGGTGGGTACAACAGGGCCACACTGGTCTGCGGCAAAAAAGATCTGGACTTGACCCCTGCTGGTCACACAAGACAGACCCTGGTGATATATCCACCATCAGGCCAAAATGCCCACTTAGCCATAAAAACTATTAAGCATTACTTTTAGTGAGCACGTTCATGAAGACAAACCCACGGTGTCGCCCTGACACTGTCATTACAGATAACTTGACTTTGTTTATAAAGCACTTCACACACAACACAGAATGACACAGAGCCAAAGAAAGGTGATCAGCATGTTTAGCACCCTGAGGTTATCACGAGGGAAATGTAGGCGAGTCTAGCTAAAGCCAAGCACCTAAAGGTAGAGGCAGACCGTGAAAGCTAAGGCGCAGTGGGTTCTGTAACTGACAACCCAGAACCTTCCACCTGCTGGACTGTGGTAGACATCGCTGTTTTCTAATTCTGCCTGCAGATCCAGAACCTGGGCATCTTCTCTGTGCAGGAGCTTCTGTTCAGGGCTGATGTCTGGGCTGTGACCAGGCAGGGCAACCAGCTGCTGAACATCTTAGACTGCAGCATCGAACAGGTGACACACTAACCTCGATCGTAACTGTGGGAAAGCATCCTGTCTCTGCACACACTACAGAAAAATTACACTGTAAAGGCTGAAGGATCCATTTTAAACCTACATCATCTGTACATTTATAGGTCAATGCTGCTGACACCACATTTACTCAAGTACTGGACAGTACAGTTTGGAGCATTTAGTTAAGTGTTGAGTGTTTACTTGAGTATTTCCACATCCTGTGACTTCACTCCATGTCAGAGACAAACTCTGTACTTTTTACTGCACTACCTGTACCTGATAAGGTGACTCAAACCAAGCCCAGTAGACCCATCAGACTCTACTGGTCCCAGTTGGAAATCCACCAGCTACCCCGTAGGATGTAAATGCAGGACTTTTACGTGTAACAGAGTATGTCTACACTTTGGTATTAGTACTTTTACTGCACTAAAGTTCTTCCACCAGATGTTTAGCATGTTAAAAAGAGGAGACCAGCGGAGCTACTATATATTAACCAGTCACATCTTACTGCCCTCCTCCTCCTCCCAGCAGGCAGCGGGGTTTCACTGCATGCTGCCTCAGGTCAGAACTGCCAGCCAGGTTACAGCTGAGGACGTGTCTCACTTGACACAACTGGTAAGATTGAGTGGTTCATACAGTCTGGAGGACAAAGGAAGGTCCAAGCAGACCTTGATAAAGATACCTCTGGTCCTCTATGTGTGTAGAACGGCAGCAACAGTCGGAGCTTGGTGGTGCAGTGCGGACTGAACCTGCCGGCCTCCACACAGGTGAAGGTGACGCTTAGAGGAAGACTTCAGCTGCCTGCTCTGCTCGCTGTGAGTCACTCTGAATCTGTGCTCAGCAACTGGGAAGTGAGTGTGTACATGCAGGAAGCTACAGACAGGTCTGCACTAAACCGCAACAGAGAATGTCTTCTGACAGAAACATAGCTGTGTTGTGTCAAAGTATGTTGTCCCACAAGATGTTTCTTATGTGTTATCCTCACCCCGATCTCTGAGGGGCACTATGGGAGACACAGCTTTAACAGGGACAAACATTTCAAAGGGGGAACGTCATATAGTTGACTAAACAGTGAAATTTCAAGGACAACCTGTTTCAAATCCCTGCTCTCACAGTCTAGCCTCCACCTGCAGTGACTCTGGCTGTATTAACCAGTTTCTGGCTCTGTTCAGACTCTCACAGCTCCGGGCTCAGCTCAGAGAAACACGGAGGTCTGGTTTGATACAGTTCCAGGGTGCTGCTGCTGGGACTCTGACCTGTGGTGTTGCAGTCGTGCACTTTGTACATGGTCTGAGTGAACATTTGCTGTTGCAGTTTAGCTGTGTAGAAGCACCATGA